TATCGTTTTTTTTTTTTTTTGCATAAAATACATGCAGTTCTGCCTTAGAATTTGGCAAAATAAAGTTTCTTATGTCCGGTCGCACAGAAAGCATTTTTATATTAGTGAAGTTATTAAACGTAATTTCGGTAGGAGTACGCCCATCTAATCTTCCAATTAATACCAAGGTATAAAACCAGCATCTTAGCTCTTCCCGTTGTTAGTTCTTTCGGCATCCCTCCTCCTCCCCTTCTCCTCCTTTTTTGTACAATTTTGCCTGTTATAAGGGGGCACCGGAACTCGAGTAGAATATCCTCTCTGAGCCCCTCTATGGCAGACAGCAAGCCAAATCTGTTTACCACTTACGCTAAGATTATATGGGCACACGAACTCGTGAAAGTTCAGTGGTTGTTTTTTATGTCTCATAGATGAGAAAGGTGGATGGAATGATACAGGATGTGAGACAGTAACGTCTAATGCCCCTCATACGTCTTGTTCCTGTAATCACCTCACACATTTTGGAGTTCTTCTGGTGAGTTCAGTTTGTCTTCCCAAAATGTAGACAGCCCATTAAAAATTTGATAAAGTACACAAAGTTTTACCTCATTTTTATGGTTGTGTGAAACTAAATATAGGAGGGCAATTGGAGCTCGAGTAGAATATCCTCTCTGAGCCCCTCTATAGCATACAGCAAGCCAAATCTGTTTACCACTTACGCTAAGATTATATGGGCACACGAACTCGTGAATATATATTTGAATATACATGCAATATTCATTATCTAAGCCTTTTTTTTTGCCGTGCATACAAACTGCACTGTCAGACTCTGTTCCGTGTTTTGTGTGTGTTTTGCTTCCCATGTTTCCTTTTGCCCTTATTTGGTCTTCCTGTTCCGTTTCCCTGATTAGGTTTATTTGTCCCAGGTGTTTCCAATGTTCATTATGTCATTGATTTCAGGTCTTCCTCATTGTGTCCCTCATAGTCCTGTATTTAATGGTTTCCTTTTTTGAGTTCGCTGTCCGGCATTGTATATGTCAACCCTTGCTACGTGTGTTTTCCTTGTTCCCTGGATGTGATTAAAATCTATATGTTTGAATTCCACTCCTCGTCTCCTCGCGGGCTGCCGCTCGCTCAAGCCCGCCGGCCAGTGTTCGACTCGGCTCAAAGGAACGCGCCCTGATCATACAGAGGCTCGCCGCCTCCTTCAAGGCTGGTGCCTCGCACCCCCTCAAGAGGTTTCAGAAAATGCTAGGCCTAATGGCTGCAGCATCTCCAGTGCTACAGTCGGTCCTGCTGCGAATGCGCCCCCTCCAGCACTGGCTGAAACCGCGGATTCCATCCTACGTGTGGCGTCATGGACGCCTGATTATCAGGGTAGATCAGGCCTGTGTAACGGCCCTGACCCCCGGGATGAACACTCAATGGATGGAACAGGAGGTTCCCCTGGGAATGGTCTAGAAGAGGAAGGTGATTTTGACAGATGCTTCCAACATGGGTTAGGGAGCTCTGTGCGAAGGGAAACCGACGCTCGGCCACTGGTCGATAGCGGGAAGCAGTCTGCACATCAACTGCCTCGAAATGTTGGCGGTATGGCGGGCCTGTCAAACCTTCCTAACAGACCTCAAAGGACATCATGTCTTGGTCCGTTCGGACAACATGACGGTGGTGTCCTACATAAATCACAACGGGGGACTATCCTCGAAGCAGCTCCTTGTACTAGTAGAGCGCCTCTTAGAATGGGCCCAGCTAAACTTACGTTCGCTGAGAGCAGCACATGTTCCGGGCATATTGAACCGAGGACCGGATATGTTGTCACAAAGCAAGGTCCCCTCAGAGGAGTGGATGCTTCATCCACAGACAGTTAAAAAAATTTGGGAAGTCTTCGGCAGGGCAGAAGTAGACCTCTTTGCCTCAGAAGACAATTCTCACTGCCCAATTCCAAGGGCAAGGATGCGTTGGCCCACGACTGGCCCAAACTCATTCTCTACGCTTTTCCCCCGGTTGCCCTGATTCCACAGGTAATCAGGAAGATCAGGGAACAGAAACGCAAAGTGCTCCTGGTGGCTCCGCTCTGGGGAAACCAGCATTTGTTGACAGAGCCGTCACAGCTGCTAATAGCATCCCCGTGGCCTATTCCCCTGAGGCGGGTTCTCCTCTCCAAGGCGAACAGGACGATATAGCACCCCAGGCAAGAGCTGTGGGCCTTGCACCTGTGGCCACTCGATGGGAGCCTATTAGTCTCCCAGAGTGTGTATTGAACACCATTTCTCAGGCTAGAGCTTTGACGACAAGACGCCTCTATGCCCTTGAATGGTCAGTGTTCTCTGCCTGGTGCTCAAACCGCGGCGAGGAACCGCTCACTTGCGACATATTGATGATACTGTCCTTCCTGCAGGAGCTGTTGGACAAGGGTCTCTCCCCGTCCATGCTCAAGGTCTATGTGGCGGCAATAGCGGCTTCTCACGCCCCTATAGCGGGTCAATCGGTCGACAGGAACAACCTTGTTGTTCGTTTTCTGAGAGGAGCCAGAAGGCTAAATCCGCCCCGGCCTCTCACTGTCCCTACGTGGGACCTGCCCACTGTTCTGAGGGCCTTGAAGGGCCCTCCCTTTGAGCCGCTACAGTCCATCAACCTTCAGTCCCTGTCGTTTAAAACCACTCTGCTACTAGTGCTAGCATCGGTCAAGCGAGTGGGGGACTTGCAGGCACTTTCTATAAGCCCTAATTGCCTGGAATTCGGGCCTGGCGACTCCAAGGTCGTCCTGAAACCAAGGCATGGTTTTGTACCTGAGGTGCTCTCGACTCCGTTCAGAGCACAGGTTATCAACCTCTCTGTGCTTCCTCCCTCGGAGGAGGACCAGGAGTTGAATTTACTCTGCCCAGTAAGGGCTCTGAAGGTCTACATCGAGCGTTCCGCCAAATTTAGGCAGTCGGAACAGCTTTTTGTTTGCTTCGGTGGTCGCGCTAAAGGACACCCGGTCGAAGCAGAGACTTTCTAAATGGATAATCGACGCTATTTTGCTAGCCTACTCTTCTCTTGGCCTACAATGCCCAGTTGGAGTACGAGTCCACTCAACTAGAGGCATTCGCCTCTTCATGGGCGTGGTCTAGCGGCGTGACCATTGCAGAAATTTGTGCGGCGGCCGGCTGGGCCTCGCCATCCACTCTTGCTTGTTTCTATAACCTGGATGTCCCTGCCTTGCAGGCTAGGGTTCTTTCTGCTTAAATGGCGCGCAGTTCGCTCTGAGAGCAGTTTGGATGTAATATGCCCAGACCTTTCAGAGAGCTTACTTGTGCGCTCTCGGCCCCCATGGGTGCTGATGCTGAGTCTTCTGGAACGATCACTCGGCTGGGTGAGGCCTTCATGAGGCTTAGCCTGTTAAGCCTGGAGGAATTTATTGTTCTTGTTCTCTTGGGACCTGAGTTGCTTAAGACCAGAATTATCATTATCGTTCCTCTGCCATTGCACGGCGTGATTGTACTGTTCCCATAGCATCTAGCAAAGACGCAGTACGAGTGTATTATCGAAAGGGAACGTACTCGGTTACAAACGTAACCTCGGTTCCCTGAGATACGAGAATGAGTACTGCATTGCTAACGATGCTATGCAGCTGCACGACTCAGTCGTCGCTTCAGTCGAAGTAACCTGAATCCTATGGCGAGGCGGCCGCTTATATAGCCAGATGACTCCGCCCATTCTGGCGGGCTTTGGCGGGCTTCGCTGCCATAGGTTTGTGCAGCACCACTGCCGAGTCATTGGTTCGTTTTTTAAAACATACTGCACGAACCAATGACCGTGCTGTTTCACTGCGTGATTGAAAAAGGCTTCAGTTCAGGAAAAAAATGACTTTTTCCCATAGCGTCTAGCAAAGACGCAGTACTCGTTCCCGTATCTCAGGGAACCGAGGTTACGTTTGTAACCGAGTACGTTATCTGCATTACGTTCCCAAATCGTTAGCTCAAAAACATTATTTAACACCATTTAAGGAACTTTTTTTTCTGAATCATTCTTATTTGGATATTCATCAACGTTTTTTTTTAAATATTACTACTAGCTACTTGTTATAAAACGTTCAGAGAACATTAGAAAATAACATTCCCATAATATTAGCAAAATTATAAAGATCTTTACATTAATGTTTTTGCTACAAAACGTTTAAAAACATTTTAAAAAATTGGACATTTTGAACTTTCAGAGAGAATGTTTCCATAACTTAACGGGAACGTTATCAAAACATTCATAAAACAGCTGGGATATCACTTACCAGCCCAACACATGGACTGTGTGGATGTGTGTGGAGCAGATATATGGATAGCATCGCTTCTGTCTGGGAGGAGACAGATCTCTGCCGTGGCAGGGGAAGTTGGCTGGTGGTGTGTGTGTGAGCTGGCTGAATCTTAAGCCAGTTATCTTACCTCTCCACGCTGCTGGTGCTCTGCCAGCGCTCACAGCCCTGACTCTGAGTGAGGACGACATTAATGAGTCCCTCTCTCTTCTGCATGCAAATGATGGACGTATGCATGAGATTCCCTGAAACTAGCCCAAATAAAGCACGAACACACACACACACACACACACACACACAGACCGCGAGGTCTATGGGAGGCAGTGATGCTGCGAGCAGACAGTCTGCATCTACACATGCGAACACGCCACACACAGATGCGCGTGTTCCGTGGCACCAGGAGACCCAATGCTTTATTGTCTTGGCGGATGGGTGGAGGTCTGGGCGCTAAGCTGAGGATGCAGGCATCACGCTGAGGGTAAGCGCTTCACATTTCGGCTCTGACTCACGTACAGCGTTTTTTTTTTCTTTTCTTTTTCTTTCTTTCTCTGTGGCGGCCGCGTCCTCGCATCCTTTTTGCTCCGCCTCATTGGTGCTTCCCCATTCCTTGCTCTCTCTCTCTCTCTCTCTCAGAGCTCCAGGCCAATTGGTTGCCTGCCTTCCACCGTTATCTGCTCTCTCCCTTCTTCGGCTGTCTCCGCGTCTCTCCTCTTCCTCTGTCTTCCCTACACTCGTGAAGAATGATTAGCATACGGGAGGCGAGAGGAACTTTCCAGCGCGAGTGAACAGGAGAACAAGTGCGCAAAAGGAAGGACGCTGGAAAATACAATCAGCAGCGATTGGAAAGTTTGAGAGAAGACAACATTTCAAGACTGGTGGGTCACTCGTGATTTTATTTCTGGCTGGATCGCTTTGCAGACATTGCTCTGATTGACGAGTTGAGCTTGTACAGCGTGTGTTTTATTAGTAGTTACAGTGCAGCTGTTACCCTGAACCTTAGAAATGAGCTTTGTGACAGTGACCTACTGTAATCCGGTTGATTTAGTCATATCAAATAATGTTACTTTTAATAAATTAGTTACTATAAAATTTAGATGAACATTTTTCACTGGACAAAACATTTTTACAGTGTAATAAAAATAATTGCTCAGTATTTTTTCTTGTTTTCCAGTACAAATAGACATTTTTAAATCAAGATGCATTTACTTGAGAAGGAAAATAAAGATAATAATTATTGTTTTCTGACTAATTTATCAAAATTAAATGTGTATGCTTAAAAAAAAAGAGAAAAATCTGCCAGTAGACTAAGAAAAATATTAATTTTCCCCCTTTGAATAAAGTTTATTTTTCCCACCCCGTTGGCAGACATTTTTTTCTTGTTTTAAGCATAAACTCTTCTTTTTGAATTTTTTAAAATAGTGTTATTGATAAATAACAAGACTTAATATCTTAAGTCATTTTGCTTTTCAAGTAAATGCAAAACAAGACAAAAAGACTAAAAATATTTTTTGTTACAGTGAAAGTATGGTGGGGAGATTAAATGAGCATATTGAATGAGTGAAATTCAGTTGTTCAGAAGATTAATCCTGCATCTATAGTTTGGTTTTCTGTGATCCTACCACACTTTTCAACTCATTTTTCCTAATGCACAGTCATTTGTTCTGTATCAGGCACTACTACATAAGTGTTGTACAGCAAGTAGCCGTATACTTTGTGTTGGCATGCTGCTCAAAGAGTCCATGCTAATGTGGATGTTGTGAGAGGTAAACAAGTCTCTCAGGTCACGAGCTGTTGGGCTTGTTCTCTAGAAGGTTCTGTGGGCTTGGTTTGTTGTGTGAAATGGCATGGCACAACAGTCCATATGGTTCTGGGTTGGACTTACTGTACGAAGGCTGGACTATTTGAAACCTTCATTGTTAAGAGAGTTGTAGAGATATCTGTGCACTGCTGGGAAACTTCTGTCACCTTGAGATGACTGTAAATGAGCTGTATTCAGGATGAACGCATAGCCGTGCCTTCATAAGAAAGTGGTTTCATATGTAGTACCCATATTTGTTTAGACAATTTTCCCCTCATTAAATATCAGATGAGCATTCCCTATCCCAGCTCATATATTCCGAGTAACACATTTGCGTTTCATACTTTTAGTTCATCTTAATCATGTGTCAACAAACAATCTCTGAAATAACATCAGTATAACTGGTTGATCATGATATTTATAAGAAACTGCAAATGAGAAACAGTCACCGTTTCTTTCAGCTGTTTCAAAGACACTTTTACATTGCATGACGTAACTCAATCCAGCACTGTACTGTAGTCTAGAACTGAGACAGAGTGCACTTTGACTAAATAGCATTTTGGTTAAGGTTTAAACCAAACCATTTGAGAAAAAAATAATAAACTGAGTTTTTGAATGGCAGAAACACAAAAGCAAATCCCTTAATCCTTCTGAAGGAGTCACTTCTTAGCGATTGATCATTTTATAAGGAAAGCAAAGATATAGCAAATGTGTGTTGGTTGTTACCATAGATGTTTTTTTTACCAAAACAACTTAGCAACCACAGCTATTCATCTAGTGCATCCAATTATTGTCACTGAGTAAGCAACTTATTTATTCAGTATTTTGTACATGCTACAGTACATGGATTTCATCAAAAATTTGAGAAGTTCCAGGGAACTATGTGAATTTGGGAGTGCCATATTTAGCTGTATTTAACTATCACTTAAACTTTAGAACTACATTAAAATGGTCAACGCTAATACATTTATTTATTTTGGTGGTTCAGATGAATCTAATTGAATAATTCAGTGTCTCACTTACTCAAATATTGCTGAATTCTCATAGTCACTCAATGACACTGTGTCAGTATTGGCGGTGAATGGGTGATGGAGAAATGGCTGATGTTTATTAGGCATGAAGGCCACATCAGTAATTCCGAACATGATTTCTATGTGTGACGTTCATCCATTCATTCATTCTGTGTGAGAGCGCCTTCCCCATCATAATCCATATCAAAACATGATCTATATCTGAATAGCTCGGCCAATTAAACATAAATTTTGACTTTGGTACAAGGCTGTATGAGAGTGTGGCATATCAAGTAGACAAATGATTAATACCTGCGCTCACCTACTGGCACAACACGCGGTCATTCATCTTGCCGGACCACTCACCTGAGAGCACGATAATCATGCGTGTCAGAAACACAGGGATTTGCATGAGTTATCGGCTCTGCAGGCATGTGACAGGACAGCGGTTGGGGATGAGCCGTTCAGTCATCGCTGTTTGGCGTCATGTTCAGTGGAAGAGGAGGAAGATTACTGCTGCCTTTCATTGAGGACTCAAGCTTCCTTTGACTAGGCTTAGTCAAGCACTGCTTTAAGAGAGGATGCTCTCAGTGTGTCCTAATTTTATGCTCTTCCTTAGAGCACTCTGAGAATTGTATTTGGCTCTATGTGCCAGCGGATGTATGTCATTTGGTTTGATTTCACTTGACTGATTAGCTTGACGTCAACAGACAGAGGCTTTGCTTAGTCATGCACTAAATACTGGGTAAATAAGGTGATGTTATTACAATGTAACTACACAAATAAGTACTGAATAATATTAATTACATGCACCGATTATACACTAAAATGTATTTTTTTTAAAGTTGTAAATAAACAAAGATTATTGGAGTACAAGTTTTTCTGCTTATAAAATTTAATGTTTAATCCAGTGTGTTCTATCTATCTATCTATCTATCTATCTGTCTATCTGTCTATCTGTCTGTCTGTCTGTCTGTCTGTCTAACTGTCTATCTGTTTATTTATTTCAGTATTGGGCTAAGATTATGATTTGATTTAGGGTTAGTTTCTTGTACTTGTAATTTTGTAATTTTGTCACCCTAAAACAATGTGTTACCAAATACTGTTGTCGACATATATGGTAACCTAAAAATGTTAACATAATATGAAATGTAATGTAAAAACAGAAATGTCAATATATATATATATATATATATATATATATATATATATATATATATATATAT